CAGGATATCATTATTGGGTCTTTTAATTCAACAATGAAGGAAAATTCTCCAAAATCTGGCATTTTTCCAAATAGGGACCGAACACTTCTGATTGGTGACTCCATCGTTAGAGGAATACAACCTAAAGGTTTAGATGATAAGGTCGATCGATATGTATGCAGCGGTGCCATTCTGACAGACATCGAACGTAAACTCAACCAATTAGATTTGACACCATACAAACACGTCATTATTTTTGTCGGGGGAAATGACGTCAGTTCAGGAAAACGCCCTGATGCGTCACATTCAAAACTGTTAGAGCTCACTCGCTCTATTCAACATCACAAATGTAAAGTGCATCTCTGCACGATTTCGCCGCGACTCGACGCTGATGTTACGTTATACAACAAAAATGTAAGGGACATCTGTATTAAAACAGGTGCTGAACTTATAGACGCATATTCATCGTTCGTTTATGGTGATGGTAGCATAGTGAAGCACTATTTAGCTAGAGATGGGATACATCACAATAAATATGGATCCAAAACACTTGTGGCAACAATAAATCGGTGCGTATACATCGTAAAAAGGAAATTGAATCATGCTAATGGAGAAATGCGGCCGAGATACAATGGAAAAGAAAACTCAGGTGCAGGCAGTCCGAGATACAGACATTATAATTTAAACAGACATGAAAAGGTTCACAACTTTTTTAGACCTAGGTTCCATGACCAAACTTCATGGAGTGAGACTTCACTTAATAATACTGATAATACCAGAACCGGAAGTGTATTTGCGTACGACAGAAGACCCGAAAGTGAAAATTGTTATTATGGACAGAATAGCGTCAGAATAAATAGGAATTAGGAAATATCCGACAGGCACTCAAATTTTGAAAATCAACAATTTGAAACATACAATTGTATTCATAATGAGGTAACTACTTATAAATCTATGTTAAAACAAGATCTTTATAGCGATTTTCAAACTTATATATCAATTCATAATGTATGTTACGATTTTATGTTGTATTCCACAATTGATATTTTACATATATGTTTAAATACGCGAAAAATTATCGATTTGATAGTAAAAGAACGAAAATTAATAGACACTATTGCATCTGGTTATCAAATTGTTACTTTTGAACAATCAGTGCCATACATTAAATACGGAAATGATGAATATAATTGCAAAGTACTAAATAATGTTACGCTCCATAAATCAAATTTTCCAGATAATAAATTGTTCAGTTCTAAGTTTGAAAAACGAGGTTTACATATTGCACACCTTAATGATAATCACTTAATTCCTAAAATAGACGAAATAAAATACAATCTATTAAACAAATTAAATTCGCCAGATATTTTCGGCTTTACTGTGACATTTCTTGGTGATGATACAACAGACGATGAATTAAATATTAAAAATTTCACACACGAAAGAAAGGACCGTAAAAGTTGTCAAAAAGGCGGGGGAGTTGTAATATATATTGCTGACAAGGTGCCATATCGGCGCCGTTACGATATAGAAACGGACGAATTAGAATATGTTTGGTTGGAAATTATTTACCCAAATTGCAAACCTTTTCTTTTAAATTTTATATATCGCCCACCAAATGTACACCAATCTTGGATTGACGATTATGAAAAACAACTAAGTATAATAGATATATCAAATATAGAATATCATATTCTAGGAGATGTCAATATTAAGAGGATATTTTTTCGTTTGAGTAAAATATGGAATATATTTTCACGAAACATGATAAAATGCCACATATTTTCACGAGCCGGGACGGCGAGTGGAAATATGTGGCATTTTATCATGTTGAGTGAAAATATATACCATATTTCACGAAAAACGAAAAAATAACCTTTTTATTTAATTTCATTATCAAAGAAAAATGGTTATGAACCCCCTTGCCTGCTACGCCACTGCAATTATACAGCGCGCAGTAATATAAGTATCGTCTTGTTTTGCACGCGATATTTAGCGCTAGATTGTGACGTCACGTAAACAACTTTTTAAACGTCTGTACAGCGTTAATGACTGAATTAAAGATATTGGTGTTCGGATTTATTTTCTTAGTTAGACCATTTTCTATCATTCTAGATAGTTTTCAAAACAAAATTCAACAAAAAAGTTGTTTGTATTTATCAGATTTTTCAAACAATGGCGAAAGAAGTCCCTTAAAATAAATATGAGTTTTGACTCCGCCCACTTTCATATTTATATTTCATATTTATTCTTAAAAAAATATGAAATATATTTGACTGATATAGCACCATATTTCATAGGTAAAATTAAATAAAAACTTTTATCCAATGAATAAAAAGAAAAAATATGACAATACAAAATGGGGGGATTTGATAACGAAATATGGTTTGAAACAGCTTATCACAGATCCTACTAGGATAACAAAACGTACCCAAAAAATTATAGATCATGTTTATACAAACAGTAGCAGATATATTATTGAATCGTTTGTTTCTGATACCTCATTAAGTGATCATTATCCGATAGGTATTTCAAGATCAACGAAAGCAAGTAGTACCCGATTGATTAATGAACATAATTCGATTAAATATAGATGTTTTAAAAACTTCAATGAAATTGATTTTCAGACAGACCTTGCTTTATCCGATCTTGAATTAGTCCAGCACATAATAAATCCGAATGAATCCCTTAGCTTATTTTACTCCATTTTAAATACTGTCTTGAAAAAGCATGCACCAATAAAAGAAAAACGTATCAAACGTGAACACCGCCCGGAATGGTTTACTGATGAGATAAAATATCTTATACATGAACGCGATTACTATCATAAAGTAGGGAAACATGAACAATACAAATTGCTCAGAAATAAAATAACATCAATGATTAAAAAAAGTAAAAGAGATTTCTTTAACAATGCTATTAAAAATAACAAAGACCCGGCATTTTTATGGAAAAATTTAAAGGACGTTTCAAATCTAAATAAAAAAGGTAGTATTACAATGCCAGACAGACTAGTGACAGATAATAACGAAATTTACGGAACTGTTAATATTATAAATGAATTAAATAAGTATTTTGTCAATATCTCGAATGTCATACATAAAACAAAGTTTTCAAATACAAATTTTTCAAAATTGAAAGAAACTTTAGACCAAAAGCTAATACATCATGAATTTAATATTGAATTAATTACACCGTTTGAAGTAAAACTTATTATTGAAAAACTGAATATTAAAAAATCTACAGGATTAGATGGAATTGGACCAAACATCATCAAATATTGTGGAGATTATATACAATAATTGCATCAATTATCAATAATAGTATTAAATCTAATATTTTCCCAGATGATTTAAAAAGAGCTCGAGTTATACCTATTTTTAAATCGGGGGATAAGAATGAAGCAAATAACTATCGACCGATATCAATTTTGTCAACTATATCCAAAATATTTGAGCGCCATATTGCCAAACAAATACACGCATTCTTTGAAAAAACGAACATTATTCATAATAGACAATCAGGATTTCGTAAAAATCATTCATGTAATACTGCACTCATAAGTTTAATAGATACTTGGTTAAAAGATGTTGACAGTGGAAAAATTATAGGGACTGTATTCTTAGACTTAAAGAAAGCCTTTGATTTGGTTGACCATGAAATACTTTTGCATAAACTTAAACTTTATCATTTTTCTGAAAATGCCGTTAAGTTTTTTATGTCATATCTTTCTAACAGAATACAACTAGTTAAGATAGGTGATCTACAATCTCAGACAATGAAAATAATTTCCGGTGTTCCACAAGGCTCAATATTAGGACCTTTATTATTTCTAATATACATAAATGACATAGCTTTCATTGGTAATGATATGAAAATTGATTTATACGCAGACGATTCTACTCTTTATGAGTCCGGAGAAAATATATCAAAAGTAGAAATAAAACTTCAAGATCATTTAAATAACATTGACAAATGGTGCAAAATAAATAATATGGCCTTAAATCCAGATAAATCAAAATGTATGGTAATAGGTACAAGACAAAAAGTAAATATTATGAGAAAATTAATTCTTAAGATAAATGAAATAGCTCTTGAAAATGTAACTGATCAAAAAGTCTTGGGTATTTGCATAGATAACAACTTAAATTGGCACTTGCAAATTGACAATGTTTGTAAAAAACTTAACGGAAAAATTGCCTTATTGAAAAAAATATCGTATTTTTTGCACTTTGATATGAAATTATTGTTTTACAATGCATATATATTGCCCATTATGGACTATTGTTGTATTATATGGGGTAAAGGAAACACAAACTACATAAATAATGTTTGTAAGTTACAAAAACGAATTGCTAAAATCATTTTACAGCAACCTCAAAGATCTCCGTCAACAAATCTATTCGAAACTCTTAATTGGTTACCGTTCCTTGACAGATGTAAATACCACACGGCGGTGCTTGTTTTTAAAACTTTAAATAACATGGCACCGACGTATATGACAGAACTGATGACTTTATCCGACAACAAAATATATAACTTAAGATCTAGGTCACGGAAAGATATTGTATTATGGACAAGACCTAAAACAAATTATATTAAAGACACATTTTCTTATTATGGCATGAACATTTGGAACAATATACCTTTAAATATTCGTAATGTTAATAACCTTAAATGTTTTAAAGAAAAATACAAAGCATATCTTGATGTTCAAATGAATGAATGAGTGAGTGAATGAATGATTGAATAAATATATGAACGAACGAATGAACGAACGAACAAATGATGCAATATACATATATGTTTAAACAAAAATTGTTGAGTGCCTGTCGAAAGTATATGAGTTGTATTAATTACATATTATACATTCATTTTTCTACCTATGAATGTCCTGTTGTTGTTGTTGTTGTTTTCTTTTTCAGAAGGCCACTTTGGAAATAAGATATATATGATTGTTATTGTATGTTCTTAATGTGTAACCTTCTTTAAATAAAGATATTATTATTATTATTATTAATAAATGATCACAAGTTATTGGTATAGATCTTCATCAAATGGTATAAAAATCTCAGAAAAATATGTCCCGTCTTTCCAAAGAACCTCAGTGGAGTCTCTTTGAAATGAAACAATAGTTACAAAGTAATTACTTTGATCAACACAGTTTAGAATATATAACACATTGCTGCAGATAAATAAACAGCTGCACAAGTTAACATCACAGTACAAAATTATACACCATTTGATTTATTCATTGCTGTACAAGCTAAGGATCTGAACTGATTGTTTAAAACCTTTTTTCAACCCACCTTGTTGCGATGCAAATAAGTATTGTTTTCTTACGCATGCGGTACCTGCATAGTAAAAAGATTTTTTTTTAAAGACGCATAAATGCATGTAAACTACTTTTAAACACGCTTCACACCATTCCCAAATCAAACAGATAGGGCAAACAAGTGCATATTTACACAATATAATATTATGCACAGCATAAAAAAGTAATGCTAACACCCATAAGACGTTAGATATGACGTCAGGCAGGAAAATTACTGCTATGCTCGATGTAGTTCAACATATTTTTTTATCAGTTCCTTTTTATTAGCATGTTAGAACAAAGGGGTATGGCTCATTGAATGTTCACAAAATATGTATTTGATAGTAGAAAACATTTATCCTAAGTCAGAAATGAATTCTAAGTCCATTCCCATTACACTATATACTAATATATAGACAAGGGCAACAACTCCCATAAGAAGGTGTCTATGCCCAATCAAGGTTTTCGCCTCGCAGTTTTTTATACGATACAGCATAAATTAAAAGGAATTATGCAATATGTAGTCGAATAATTCATCTATTGAACCAATGTAAAACTTTTCTCTTATAGTTAACAAGTACTGGCCGCCAAAGTAATAAAAAAACTATTCATTTACATGAAGTCGACATCGATCGTGGCTACGCCGGAAAGACAAAGTTACATGAATGTTGCAATCGTTAGAGATAATATTACAAGCTTTTAACATGCTAGGCAATTAAGACTGCATAAAAGTTATCAAATATTCCAATAACCTATAATGACAATGTGATATAAAGTCACATGCGGCTTTAGAGCATTTCCCCGTTAAAATTTCTCTAAAAACACCGCCATCTTGGCGAATATAAACAACCGGCATCTGATTGGTCGTTTTTTTTCCCGGAAATTTACAGATATATTTTCGGGAAATAAATCGAAATAGAATTCATTTCTGACTTAGGATGAATGTTGTCTACTATCAAACACATATTTTGTGAATATTCAATGAGCCGTACCCCTTTGTGTTAGAATGTCCAACTTTACGTAGAAAGATAAGCAAATCTTACGGAATGGTAGCGAAACTAACGACATAACTTCTTCTTATGATATTCATATGTTCTTCTTATGATATTTACAAAAAAAACTATAGAAAACTGAACTAAGATTCGTCAGCTGTTGGTCGGTTTAGAAAATTACTTGCCATCCACATCACGAAGCACGTTGTAAAAACCCCACGCTATATATAGAAACTGAACATCATGGGAGATAACTTAAGTCAAATTCTGGGACTTCATGAATGACTTGCGTAGTTGTCAAAACGTATGACGTTACATACAATATGCATTTTCATATTATTAAGTTTCTATTTCTATCTGAGATATAATTAGCCAATCGTTCTGTTTCTTCGTCATGATAATTTCCAAACATTTCAACGCTTGTGGTTGAACGAACGTCTGCTCAAATTTACCATGCGATAGAGTTCCAACCGATTTCTTGCCCTTACATGTTCCGTCATTAGTAGGCTCATAACTAATAACAATCTCTGCGTTTTCTAATCTATCCGTTCCTGTTTTAGGTGCACCTGTGCGAATTGCAATGCGTGAACACAGCACCCGGGACTGTAGTTTCACTCTATAATATTCTCCGACCTTAGGTACTTTAGCCCAGAAAAACAAGGTGCTATTGATCTCATAAGCATATTCCGGCGTGAAATTGGAAAACGTTTTAAATGTTGTCTCGATAATAGCTGGTGGGTTTGAAGTTAAATTAGAAACATACAATGGTTCAGTTGTTATTGATAACGATTTTTTCGAGGTCACTTTCGCTTTTTCATCCGGAACTATTTTACCTTCTAAAGATGAATATTTTCCCCGATGCTTGAAGACTTTCTTGACCTTACTTACTTTTTTAAAATTATGCAATTGAATTTGTTTTAGATCTTCTAATAATAAATCACAAGGTTTTTGATCTTGAAAGAGCAATAAATAGTCTTTCATCATACACAGGTCACTTGATCTGAAAAGTTTTCCAATGAAACCTTCCCCAAAGTCTAAAACAAACCAATGGTGCTTTGCTTTTTCTTCTTTAATTAAAGAGTCCGTGATTATGTTTAAGTACTTAGGAGTGGCGTCCACGTCATCTTCCACGTGCATATAGTATTTCGACAATTTCTCAGAATAGCCAAACAAATAGGCAAAGTCAATATTTTGCTTTGTCCTCCAGTGAACTCTCTTCATAGAATCTTTGAAGGTTTGTTTTGTCATTTTACTGAAAATATAAAAAAATGTTAACGAAATAACAGATGAACTATTAAAAGAGAGGGAAGAAGAGGTGTCAGTAAAGATGAAGAAAAAATGCTCATGTTGATGAAAGAGATGAGCGTTATGATGAGCGTTATTATGTGCAATTTTCAGTCGTTATAGAAGAACTCAAACATTGATGATGATAGTGCTGAGGATAAAGGGGAGGAAAATGGGGAGGATGCGATAAAAGATGTGGAAAATAAGGAGGATGGGAATAAAAGAGGTGCACAATTAAGAGAATGAGAAAAATGAGGGGGGAATAAGGAGGGTGAGAACAGAGGAGGTGGAAAATAAGGAGAATGAGTAACAGGACTGGAAAATAAGGAGAATGAGAAAACAGGAGGTGGAAAATAAGGAGAATGAGTAACAGCAATGGAAAATAAGGAGAATGTGAAAATAGGAGGTGGAAAATAGGGAGAATGAGAAAACAGGAGGTGGAAAATAAGGAGAATGAGTAACAGGAGTGGAAAATAAGGAGAATGAGAAAACAGGAGGTTGAAAATAAGGAGAATGAGAAAAAAAGGAGGGAAATAAGGAGGGAGAGAACACAGGAGGTTGAAAATAAAAAGAATGAGTAAAAGGAGGTGGAAAATATGGAGAATAAGTAAAAGGGGTAGATAAGGAGACTGAGTAACAGGAGTGGAAAATAAGGAGAATGAGAAAACAGGAGGTGAAAAATAAGGAGAATGAGTAAAAGGAGGTGGAAAATTAGGAGAGTGAGTAAAATAAGGTGGAAAATAAGGAGAATAAGTAAAAGGTGGTAAATAAGGAGAGTGAGTAAAAGGAGTGGAAAATAAGGAGAATGAGTAACAGGAGTGGAAAATAAGGAGAATGAGGAAAACAGGAGGTGGAAAATAAGGAGGATGAGACAAGGGAAGTGGAATATAAGGGGGACGAGAAAAAAAGAGGGCAGAGGAGGAGTTTGGAAAAAAACTTGTTATTTTCTGGTCTAAAGGAATGTAAGCTACTGAGAAAATTGGAAGAAAACTGTTTATTTTTATATGGATACATAATTGTCATTTCTGACGCACATTACACAGTGGAAATAGAAAAGGCATATAGAGTTGGAATTTACAGAAAAATAGAAGATATATATAATCCCTAAAGAAAGCCCAACACGACAAAATTGAAAATGCTGCAGGCTCCGTTTGATTGAGCCTCTTCATGGACGATACTGGAAAGTGCAAATTACCGTTCACGCCCCTGGCATCGGCTTAAGCAGAATTAAACATTTAATTACAAAAAAATGCTGAAATTTTGAATTAAGAAACATCCACATTTGTGTTTATACGGCGGTCATCATGGAACCTTCAATGTGACACAGTAGTGTCATTCCATGAAAAGCGGCGTATGGTCCCCAAGTAAAAGAATGCGTGTGCCCTAAACGAGAAAACAATGGGCGGAACTAAATAAAATGGAATTTTGAAAGGGGATCTGAGGTCATGAAGCCTGCATTGAAAGTTTATTATCGGAAAGACAAGCGATGAATTTAACAGAGAGTGACTGGTATGGAAAGTTCAATGAATCATAGTGTTAGCGACCAGTCTCCGATTCCGGTACAATTCTCTGAAACAAATACGTAAAGCTGGTTTATGATGGACAAATTTTACATGAGAATAAACTTCAACCCCTTTACCAGAAATAGAAAATAAAACCTCTCATCGGTCCACGGTAATACACAGTAGAAATTGTGATATATAATATATGATAAACAAGATCAACAAGGAAAGGCGGCGTTCAATGAACGCAACCCTCATACGACCCAGCAACAAGAACCAGTGGCAAGGAGCCCGGGCAGACCCCAAACAAAAACAGGACAGGGCAGATCCTATCTTGGAAAATAAATGGATTAAAGTCTTAGCTGAAAGATCTGGATTGAAATCTCATCTTGCCATATAAATATTTTGCTGTCTACGTACATGTACACGCCTGGTCCGATTGGCATGGCCTTTACTGTTCAGAATGTTGAGATGATGAATATAAAAGGGTCTCCACTGAGTTTTTTTTTTGCTATGACGGGACTGATTTATTTTCAAAATAAAATGCTCCATTTGGTATTGGTCTAGCTTGTGTAAAAGTTTTAGATCATTCGCTCACTCCGTTTTCCCGGAATAATTATTCTAATTGTAACAAATGAGAAAAAATTGAAAACTTTGAAACGCTTTTCACTAATCGAACAAAAAACAACAACAAAAACACGGCACAAAATACTATTTATCATTATTATTATATTTATCTCTCAGCTTTATGTGCACCAGCGGATCTATTTAAAAAAACATATTTTATGTTTTAGCTTTTGGACCTTAGTGGAGTTTCTTTAACATTTTCCCTTATATAAGCGTGTTTCGACGGCTTTTTGCCGCCCCCTTTTTTAGGCCTCAAACAGTGAAGAAATGCCCTATTTAGGCCCCAAAAACTGTTTTTCGTTTGAGAAATGTTGTTAAAAAAGTGACCACTTTTTCGGCGCCGTCCCCCATTCAAATGTTACATCAGGGGACTGCCAGAAGGGGGATGTGCCCCCTTCTGTTTTTTTTTTTGGGGGGGGGAGTTGAAGCTAAAAAGCCTTTTACTCTATCTCAATTCATTGAGAAGTTGCAGCACTTTGAGATCAGTTTTGATGGATAAAAACAATGCAAAAAAGTGATTTTTGGCAATTTTGAGACGTCCCCCGTTGCCATGGTAACAGGTAATTTACGATTGAGCATGCTGTTACAGAGGCTATGGTCTAGCCAACATGTGTGCTAAGTTTCATCAGCATTGAAGCATTTTTCAGTTTCATAGCAGTTTGAACTTGTTACAGGAGGTCTTTGAATGAAAACGGCCATTTTTTGCAATATGCTCATGGGGTAAAAGGTTAATCTGAAAGAATTATTTGAAAAAAACTTAAAATGGGCATTTCGGATGTGTATATAAATACTTGTTATATTTCGTCTAAAGATTTTAAACTTCATTAATATCTAAATAATAGAGTTTATTTTTTCATATTATTTTAATGGGTATATAAATTCGTATACAAAGTGATATTTTTGTCTGATTTTTCAAGCTGACTCCCTTTTGAGTGATTGTGCAAAATTTCAATTGGGAAAAATTATTAGTTATTTTATGTTTAATGTTTTTTAAAACAAACAACAACACAAAGACAAAACAAAACAACCCACTCAAAAAAAATGAAAATAAAATAAAATAAATAAATAAATAATAAAGGGATTCTACTGTAAATAAAAAAACGGTTAACGCAATTTTTTCTAATCATGAAACATTTGAGAATTTTCTATTGCACAATTTACATTCTGAGTAAATGTCTACATGAAATTGAAATATAACAATTGCATGTACTTACTGGATATAGTTTTCCTTATATGTAACTGACATTTATCTTTAAAAGATTTTTCAATGAAAATAAGTGAAGTATATTTTATCTTCAAATTGTATTGAAATATTTCAGCATAAACCCGTGCCCCTATAAGCAATGCATATCCTGTGTTCTAACAATGCATATCCCGTGCTCCTTTTAACAATGCATATCCTGTCCCTCATTTAGCGATGAATATCATGTGTCTCTTTTAGCGATGCATATCCTGTGCCCCTTTTATCGATGCATACCCTATGCCCCTTTTAGCGATGCATATCCTGTGCCCCTTTTAGCGATGCATTTAGCGATGTATATCATGTGCCCCTTTTAGCGATGCATATGCTGTGTCCCTTTTAGCGATGCATACCCTGTGTCCCTTTGAGCGATGTATATCCTGTGCCCCTTTTAACGATGCATTTCCTTTCCTTTAAAGCAATGCATATCCTATGCCCCTTTGAGCCATGCATATCCTGTGCCCTTTGAGCGATGCATGTCATGTGCCCCTTTTAGCGATGCATACCGTGCGCCTCTTTAAGCGGTTCATATCCTGTGTCTCTTTTAGCAATGCATTTCATGTGCCTCTTTTATCAATGGATATCCTGCCCCTTTTAGCAATACATATCCTGTGCCCCTTTTAGCAATGCATATCCTGTGCCTTTTTTAGCGATGCATATCCTGTGCCCTTTTAGCAATACATATCCTGTGCCCCTTTTAACGATGCATATCCTGTGTCTCTTTTAGCGATGCATATCCTGTGCCTCTTTTAGCGTTGCATATCCTGTGCCCCTTTCAGCGATGCATATCATGTCCCCCTTTAAGCAATACCTAGCCTTTGCCCCTTTCAGCGATGTATTATTCAAACAAACATTCTATTCTACATGTATAGTCTATAAAATGAAAACCTACCTAAAATCCGGATAGACACTTTCAGCTGGTTGAATTATTTGTAAACCTCCCGTAGAAAGACTATCATTGAAGTTATATTCAATCATATGAACGGTTGCATCAACATCAGATTCATTGTGAAATCCTAGAAATACTATGATCACGATCTTTTCTTTTTGTTCATTTGTCATGTGATGAATCAGTGACGTGAGCGTATCTTTTAAGTACGTTGCCTTTGATCTCGGGACTGTACATAATCCTATGGTAAGAAAGCCTGAAGCATGAAAAATGCACTTCATAATAAAACAGAACATATTATTTGATACAACACATTTCGTATCATTGTTAAATTTTCTGCAAATATTTACAGTTTATATGTATAAGGAAATTGAGATCATGTGTCTTAAGTGTGAAAATTTGACATTCCTACCTTTTAGAATGTTCATGTTGTCATTCAACCCATGTTGTCATTCAAAATCTTTGGATGTTTAAATTGAATTTTTATACAATTTTTGGCTTTAAATTTGACATTAATATTTTATTAAATTCCTGTTGTCTGGATATTCAAACTGACATTCCTATATTTGTGATGACATTCCTACCTTTTAGGTGTTACAATTGACATTCCTACCTTTTGTATGTACAAAATGACATTTCAATTATTTATGTGTTCAAACTGACATTTCCACATTTGGTAAATTGACATTGAATTCCTATTGTGAGAATGTTCTACCCTGTTATGTTAAAATTGTCATTTCTATTCTTTGACTGTTCAAACTGAAACTCGTACCTTTTTGATGGTGAAATTGACATTCAAATCCTTTGGGGTGTTCTAACTGACATTCAAAACCTTTGGATGGTTAAGTTTACATTCCTATATTTTAAATAATCAATTTGAAATTGTTATTTTTTGAATAATCAAATTTAAATTTCTACCCTGATATTGTCTCAGATGTCCTCTAATAAGATTGACTGATCCATTACATTTACTTTGTTGAAGTGACACATTTCGTGTGGTGGTCCAACTGGATAAAGCAGTCATACTGTTTGGGAAAGTAGTAATACTTTCGGATACCTAGAAACATAAAAAACAAACTTACACGTTTACCAAGTTGTTAAATAAGACTCCAGTCTAGAAACACTTAACATGGGGAAATGGTGCGTGATATTGTATTTGATTTGCTACAGGTTGATGTTAGTATCGTTTCCGCTCATTATCTCGAAAGCTATATATCACAAAGTCTGCATATTTCTAATATTGATTGGTCATAACTATTAGATGACCCCTATTTATTTTGGGTCACTAGTTCAAAGATCTAAGTCACAGGGGCCTTAACCCATTACTTCATTAGCATTTTGTGCAAAATGGCTGTTTTCATTGAAAAGTCTCCCATTACAAGTTCAAATTGCTATAGAATTATAAAAACTGCTTCATTACTAATCAAACTTGGCACAAATGTTGACTGGACCATTGCCTTCCTTTGCAACGACATGCTCAGTCTTTTCCTGTTTCCATGGCAACGAGGAGACATCTCAAAATTTCCAAAAATTACTATTTTGCGTTGATTTTTTCCATCAAAATTGATTTCAAAGTACTGCAACTTCTCAATGCATTGAGATAGAGTCAAAGGCTTTTCAGCGTTGGTTACACGTTACCTTATGATCGACCTTGGGTCATTTTTAGCCTCTCACAAGTCCAAAATTTTCTTGGCGATGAGGGGGACTACCGCGCCCTTCAAACCCCAAACAGAAGGGGCACATCCCCCTTCTTGCAACACCCTGATGTATCTTTTAGATGGTGGGGGGGCGGCGGCGAAAAAGTGGTCACTTTTTAAGCAACATTACTCAAACAAAAACAAGTGTTGGGGGCTAAATAAGGCATTTTTTCACCTTTTGAGACAGCAAATGGGGGGGGGGGGTGAAAAAGGCGTTAAAAGGCGTGTATATCCGGTAATGGATTAAATGTCTCATTATTTTGGCTACTATTTATCACAAATGTCTTCATTATTTTTCTTTTTTTCATAATTGAACACTTCCATGTACTCATTTTATGGCAAGTTTCTATATAAAAATTACCATTAATGTGAGTGGGGGGAGTTGTGTCGTTCGACATTTCTTGTTTAATGTGCTTCGTTTGTGTTTGATATTTTGAAAGTGATTTCGTCCCGAAATTATTATGATTAAGCCGACAGGTGCGCTTAAAGGATTTGAACGAAAGGAAGGACATGTAGGACAGAACCGCCTTTATAATTTTTGATTGTTTGCTTTACTTTGGCCGTCATTTTAAGTAGCACAGTATATTACATGCTTGAGATTAGATAAACTATCTAACAATACTTTCGTCTTCATGTTAACCGATAGAGAGCTTTTTGATAATGACATGATCACAGACACTTAGGGTGTGGAGCTCGAAACTGGGGAGCCAGTTTAAATTTGTCGAAAGATTTAAGATGACAAATATACATTTTATTTGGATTTTAAAGGCGTTTTGAGCCCCACATCGCAAGTGTCTGCGGACACGCTGGCCATAGATCGCTCAACTGAGAAACTTCGCTTGAAAATGTGACAATGAGATCATCTTTAGGTAAAATGTTTTTATGACATATGAGCCGCGTCACGACATAACCAACATAGTGGGTTTGCGACCAGCGCAGTCTGATCAGGATCCATGCTGTTCGCTGTCAGTTTCTCCACTTGTAATAGAGTTGGTAAGCGAACAGCATGAATCCTGATCAGACTTCGCGGATGCGCAGGCTGATCAGGATCCATGCTGGTCTCAAACCCACTATGTATATGTTAGTGTTCATCCGTGCTGTTCTACAGAAATTAGAAACTTCGACGGGAGCGATAGCGACAGGAGAATGTTTCTAATTTCTGTAGAACAGCTAAGGATGAACACTAACATATTTAGTGTCAAGCTTTATTTGGCCCTTGATTACGTCACTACGCGGTACTAATAAGCACTATGAAAAAATTGAAGGCGACTATGAACGGATTTCAATATAGTATCGACTTTTTTTCTTCTATGAAAATTAACGCACATATTTTTTAAGAAATACAGCGTTTTCATTGGATGACAAATAAAGCTGGACACTAAGTATATGTAAGTGTTCATCCGTGCTGTTCTACAGAAATTAGAAACTTCGACGGGAGCGATAGCGACAGGAGAATGTTTATAAATTCTGTAGAACAGCTACAGATGAATACTAACATACTTAGTGTCAAGCTCTATTTGACCTCATTATTATTCACTTAATTACGTCACTACGCGGATTTATGAAGTACTATGAAAATTAGAAGGCGACTATGAACGAAATTTAATATAGTATCGACTTTTGTTCTTCTATGAAAATTAACGCACACAATTTTTAAGAAATACTACGGAATGCCGTTAGGGCCATCGCCTATGAATGTGTTGATCTAAAACGCGATAGTCGATAGTACGATGGTGAAAACGCGAAATCACGAAACTACGATGGTGAAAACGCGAAAGCACGATGATGAAAACGCGATAGTACGATGATGAAATCGCGACAGTACGATTCTACGATGATGAAAAAGCGATAAACTATCGTGTTTTCACCATCGTACTGTCGCGTTTTCACCGTCGTAGTTTCGTGATTTTGCGTTTTCATCATCGTACTGTCGAATATCGCGTTTCAGATCAAACCATTCATAGGCGATGGCCCTAACGGCATTCCGGAATGCCGTTAGGGCCATCGCCTATGAATGTGTTAATCTGAAACGCGATAGTCGATGGTACGATGGTGAAAACACGAAATCACGAAACTACGATGGTGAAAACGCGATAGTACGATGATGAAAACGCGATAGTACGATGATGAAATCACGACAGTACGATGGTGAAAACGCGATAGTACGATGATGAAAACACGACATTACGATGATGAAAACGTGATAGTACGATGGTGAAAACGCGATAGTACGATGGTGAAAACGCGATAGTACGATGATGAAAACACGACAGTACGATGATGAAAACGCGAAATCACGAAACTACGATGGTGAAAACGCGACAGTACGATGGTGAAAACACGATAGTATATCGCGCTTTCATCATCGTAGTATCGAACTGTCGCGTTTTCATCATCGTACTTTCGCGTTTTCATCATCGTGCTTTCGCATTTTCACCATCGTAGTTTCGTGATTTCGCGTTTTCACCATCGTACTATCGACTATCGCGTTTCAGATCAACACATTCATAGGCGATGGCCCTAACGGCATTCCGTAAAATACAGCGTTTCCATTGGATGACGTAGAATACTACAAGGTATGGTGGTTTACTTGTGCTATTCGTGTTTTCGCCCCGCGACCCCGCCGTAACAAGTTGAAAAGGCGGGGTCGCGGAGCGACAACACGCTTATATGCAGGGCCGCGGGCCGAAGTTTAATAAATAATACTTCGCCTGCTCCATAAAAGGGAGCAAAAATAAAATGTAACCAAGCAACTTTCAAATGTCACACATGGTATATACATGTATATAGGTAAAAAATAATACCGATATACCATACGTTTTATACTTTTTCAAGATATTTGAAAGATAAACAGCCTGATATATTATGTCGGGGTAGAGTTTAATCAATGCCAGATTTTTTTATTGTCCCGGTTAAGATATCAGTTTTGACCTTGTATTCTTTTTGTTTTATATATACAATCTGTAATGTATTGTTTACCTGCTAAATGACTCTTTGTTAAGATTATCAAGTTTAAAATTCCAACTTAGTAAAAGGACCACATACTGTACTGTCTCTTTCAAATGTAAAGTCCATTAACAGTATGAGGTTAGTAAATGTGAAAGAAAGAACGCTGCCTTTTACTTTATGCATGTCAATTTAGTGAACGTGTTTAAATTGAAATATCCGCGTTATAATAAATATCTTATGTACAAGAAAATAGCATTTTGTAATAAGTAATAGAAAGAGCATCGAAACACGAGGCTATCTGATTTGTACGAGGGGGCGTAGCCACCGAGTATTAATCAGATTATGTTCTTTCTCTTTTGTATCATAGTCAAACATAAAAACACGTTCACAATACGAAACCTCGGGAAAAAGTAACCAATGAACGAGCATATTAATATGATATTTCTGTCGCTTTCCCTTTCTCTTCCGTCAAAATAAGTGAACAACAGCAAAAATGAGCCAATCAATGGGCATGCTCTGGAGTGAGGGTAAGTAATACCTGCACTCCAGTTAACGCACTGTGCATGTGTATGTATACGATTTAACTCTGACACATTTTCAACAGAAAGGTCCCAAAACTATGAAACAACACACGGATAACTAATACTATGATATCTCGTGTAAAATTAGCCCATCTCGTGTTGAATTCATGGAAATGTACATGTATTGCTTTGAAGTAAGCGAAGACGGTAGTTGTTGTTAAGGTGTTTTGAATTTCAAACGTTAGCAGCCAGGTTAGACTTCATGTATATATACATGTATATGTATGTATATAGTGGATAACCTGGCCCTATACGGGATACATGGACCATATTTGTCTTTCATTACGACGTTATAACTGAAGATGTGCAGTCTCGATTCAAGTTTGATTAATAGTTGTTCACTTGCGGAGTTATCGAGGTGAAACTACCGGCGTGATTATGACCAAAACATGTATTAAAATTGGCGTAAAGACCAGAAAAAAATACCCAAACAAACATAAACAAACATCGTCAACGTAGTGATCAGGTTTTTATAATATCTGATCTGACAGTTACTTTCTCGTTATCCTGTAAATGTTGCCAGGATATGACCACTTTATGAAAGCAACTTTCTATTCAACTAGCGCCTCTCGGATTTTTGTGACCTGTGAACCGTGTTTCCTCACATGTTACATTTTACAACAAATAATATTGCTTTTGAAATTCATTGGTATTAATGACATTTTTTAAGTTCTGCCTAAAATAACGAGACCCACGATCCCGGAAACTCATGCGCATGAAAATATCGAACTTTTCTGGTCCTCTCAATTTTAAACTTTAGCTTGAAATATGATAAGGACCTACTCATAGATGAAAATTGATATACGAACCCGGGCGTACCGAAAACCATG